AGGCGGCTCATTTTAACCGATGGCTGGACACGTGGGGTATAAGACACTAAACCGGGTAATGGCCCGATTTTGTTGGCCCGGCATTTGGGCGGACGTGCTCTGCTGTTGTGCTTCTTGCCCCGAATGCCAGTTTGCCACTTAGTTGATCAACGGCCATTCCAAGAGTGCCTTTTATTGAGGTGCCATTTGAACGCATTGGGATGGACCTCATCAGGTCATCCATCCAGAGGCAGTGCCGTTGCACACCAGCTCTGCAAAGAGTGTAGCACGGGAACTGATTCAAATCATCTCCCGAGATGGGATCCTGACTGATCAAGGCACCCAATTTATGTCAGAACACTGAGAGAACTGTATTGCACCCTCTGTTGTTTTCAGTGCGTAATGTTCCCCAGGCCTCCACGAGGTTTTCTAGCTTTGAGATGCTATTTTGCACAAAACCATGCAGGGTTTTGGACCTGGTTAAAGAAAGCTGGGAAGAGGATCTGAGCTGATGTAAGAATGAGGTCCAATACGATCTGGACCTGAGAGCAAAACTCCACACACTGGGACAGTTATCACATGAGAATTTATTCAGTGCCCAGGAACATCAAAAGTGGCTGTACAATAGAGGATCTGGATCAGGACAATTCTCACCGGGCGATAAGGTACTTGAACTACTCGTCCAAATCCAAATTACTCGCTAAGTGGCAAGGACCCTTCTGACCCAAGTGGGTGACGTTGACTATGAGATGGTACGACTTGTCGGGGGAGGGGTCACGCAGATTTACCACCTCAACCTCCTGAAAGCTTAGAGAGATGCCGAGTCCACTTTCCTGGTGACGGCGATTGCAGAGAGAGAGATATGAGTTGGGGCCTGAGGTATGACATTTGACCAATCTTGGGAGGGGGTGGGTGGGAAAAAAGTTGGTTCGGATGGCTCAAGTTATTCAAATTATGAGTAGGACTAAGACATGACACCAAAATATATTTTTGAAATAAACAGAAATGATTAAGAAGGGGGAAAATATAATTTGCACATGCAATAAATGATTGCTCATGCTCAATGATTGGAATTTCACCAAGATAATTATTAATAAAACAAAGACACACAGGTTTGTTTGGTGTAAGGAGGCCAGACATGTGTTTCCAAATGTTAAAAGTTGAAGATTTATTACAAAAAGAATTGCAAGTCATTAAAAGCACATAGACTTATGCTTGACAAATAACTACTGTATAAGATAAAAAGTGAAAAGGAATTCACAGAACTAATCACAAACTACTTCTGAAAACTTTGGAGGATGAGAATGACTGGTTCAGATTGAACTAATCAGAAAGAACTTCTGAACTTTGGCCAAAAGAAAATGATGAAAAATTAATCTTGTGATTCATTAAGTCCATACAATAAAATCTGTTAAAAAATGTATTTTTGCATAAGTTAGCAGGATCTCTGCTTGTTTTGTAACTTTGGGTCATTTTACCCACACACGGTTGTAATGTGGAGAAGCTAAATGGGTCTGAAACCCCTCTGCTGTCGCACATGTTCTCAGAATTCCGTAGTCATAGAGATACTCCAAAAAGACAAAAAGACTTGATGTATTCTGTTTTCAAAAACGGCGTTGCTCCCTGTTTATCTGTAACTAAGTACAAGTGATTTACAGTAAGTACCAAGATATCCCTATCACATGGATTTAGATCAATCTGAAATATTTGCCAGTCATTTTAAAGAGAAAGATCAACGTTCATACAAAGAAACAACTTTTAAAAGACGTTTTCCAGAATCAGTACTAAATGACTTGCTGAATGTAGGAGATGTCACAAACATTTTTCACTTGAACTATGTCCCAGCTTTAGCGGCTGAAGCTGAATGAGGGAACGTCATTAATGTGTAATCATATCTTTGTGTTACATTGGAAAACTTTACACCCGAGAAGTATTGATGGCAGAGTATGTGCAGAAGTCTGAACTTTTGGCGGTGCTCTTCCTCTTTGGTCTCTGTGATGCCTGACGGATTTCCAGGGCTGCATAACACACGTCTTCACCCTAAGATTTGACATTTACAGTCCAGCAACACGATCACCTCATTTCATCAACGATATAATAAATTCACAGTGACAAAAGTCTGTATGGATTAATACAAAGACATATTCAGCTGTTATTTACCTCTCTTGGCTTTCTTGTGACGGCCCTTAGTTTTTCATTATCTTGTGTATCTTCCACTGCAGTAAGGAAAAAAAAAAAAGGAAATAAATAAGGGAAATCATACTACATTTTCTCCGATAGCATGTCAAACGTGGCAGGTACCTGTTTTCCGGCAGAGCTTGTAAACCAGAAGAGAGGAGAAGAGAGCAAAGACAAAAGCGAAAGACAGGCACAGAAAGAAGAGGAGTTTCCAGTTCACATCGCGGTGGAAATTGCAGTCCAAATGGCCGTGCTGCTGCGTCTTATTACCGTCAACGTGAAGCCAACTGGGCTCTGGCAAAATACAAACTTTTGTTGAATAGCCAATTTTAATACATCATCTCTGGAAACCAGAACATTCTGAGGGAGTTTTACTTTAATCTCCCAATCTTCAGTCAATGTATCTTTTAAATAGTCAGTGCTCCGTTAACCTCTTTACTTTTTGTAATCTTTGAGACACAAACACAAAGAAGCAGGGATTATGTCTTACAAGTGACTAAATCATGTTGTATTAAGTCACAGAGTTGCATTAACTGATGTTCAACAAATACATACATTCATGAGAGATTTCTGTGCTCTCTCCACAAGCATGTACTAATCTACTTAGATTTGCAGCATAGTTTTCACACAGCAGCAGGAATTGATTCTTCATTTTGTCCACTGAAGGGTTTACACAACGTTTTACCTATAATAATCGTTATTATAGCTAGACAGAGTAACATACAATGTTAAATATACATATAAACATGGTAACAGTAAAGGGTAGTTCATTAAAAAGTACTTACTGACGGTGAGCCTTGTTGTGATGTTGCTGTACCTGTAGATATCTCTTGATGTAATTTTTTTTATTTCTTCCACTTTCGTCTCCTTAGTTCCACAGTAGTAAACCCCTTCATCAGAATCAGTGATATTTGTGATCAGCAGGTCATAGGAAGTAGAGTTTTTGATGAATATAAATCGTGGACATTGCTGAGACCAGCTGAGACGACTGTTTAGGACAAGAGTTGGCTGGTTTTCATGAGAACAATTCCTGAACCACACTATGTATACCCCAGTCGACTTATTGCAGTCACAATAGAGGGTGATGTTCTCTCCAGGTCTGGCTGTCACCTCCTTCACTGATCCAGAGATTCCATCATGATGGCAGAAAGCAACACCTGAAAGACATTTCCATCTCCTTGAAACTTATTCTGTCCTTTTCAAGTCAAATGTTTAAAAAGACAGCACTAAAACAAACATACCAAACCAAACGAAATGACCCAAGAGAACAGAAGCAATCAGAAGCAGTCGGTCCATAGCTGACGATGATGAGATGACAGATTAGAAGGAAGAGTGACTTATTGTACTGATGGGATCTGCTCAAATATTTCCATTAAGGGTGGCGTTGCTGATGATTGGCTGGTCAAATGGAAACATTTACTCTGTGGTTACCAGATTGGCTGCAACTCTATACGTGCAGTAGGATGTTGGGGTTAGCACTCATTACGAGCATGAAGACCGCCTGTTAGGCACTTGCAGGCCATAAATGCCTTTATAGAATATGAGGCACACACATGCACATCTTGCCTGTCGGTGACCCTACAATGTGGCCAGAGAAAATTTTAATTGTGGATATGGCTGAGAAAAGACCCAGCTGACACTGTTTAGGACAAGAAGGTGTACCCAGTCCACATTTCACATTCACAATCAGATTTTTATTGCTGTTATGACGGCAATAGAAAATGACAGAAAAGAAAAAGAATGTTTTTTTTTTAGTCAGCTTCACTTTTGATTCTTTAGGTTCAAAGCATTCCTTACGATCTCTTGTGTTAGGTTCCTGCAGGTTTCCCCACATTCCCGTTATGCCTCTTCCCCTTTTCCCTGCTGTTTGCTGCTTGGTTTCTTTGATCCTCACCAGTTCTTGGGGTTGTGGCTGGCTGTGCGGCACAGCTATTGCCTCTCGCACTCAACATGTGGCTCATCATCCTTCCAACAGCCTGCTCCCATAGATTTTCAGTATCTCATTGAAGTCCTTATTTCTAGTCCAATGATCCAAGGACAACCTGTTTTATCAACTCAATACATTTATTGCTGTTTTTCTGCTGGTTACAGGAAAGAGTATTATAACCAAATTGTGGCAGTTTCAGCCACCATAGGTACCTCAACACATTTCTCCAAGGCAGAGAGTTGTCCAAAGACTTTTATTTTCTGCGTGGACATACACTCACACACACACACACACACACACACACACACACACACACCCACACGCGCACACACAGCCTGAGGCTCAGTTGTTAAGTTGCTTAGTTGTGGCAGTGGCTGGATCCCGATCTGGGGTCCTCCCCCCAGGTCCAGCACACTACTTTTTAAACAAGGAGAGAGTAATTGCAACTAATTTTGCCACCGCTCCCCTGAGCCTCCCCCACACCTTCCCTCCTGCGGCTGAGCACCACGCCCCCTCCACGCATTTAATGAAAAAACTATTTACAGCTGAACTCCTGTCTTACTGTGGTCGAAGATCTGTCTCTTACACAGTTTCACGGTTGCATAGGCTCAGGTTATTCAAGTTATGAGTATGACTAAAACATGATGCCACAGTTTTTTTTGTTCCAAATAACAGAAATTAATGAGAAGGAATGAGAAGGAAAGAGTATCATTTGGACATGCAATATAAATTGATGCTCACAATGTATGGTAAAATCAATTGTAAATTAACTTTTGAATATTGGACAAATAGAGAAAGATTTGTAACAAATGACCTTTGAAGAGAAATAGCGCAAACCAATAAGGAAGTGTGTAAATGTATATTTCATTACCTTTGTGTGACTATACTTAAAAATATATATTTAGGTTGTGTTCTGTGTGGTGCAATATTATCTAATGCAGTACATAACTGGTATTTTCATGCAACCTGTTTGATGCTGTTTGCATGTGATCTATCTTCTGTGTGAACAATGAGGTGTTGATAGGTGTTGCTCTTGTCTGCATGTTCCATAAACAGTTGTGTGAGGGGGCTTTTTGTCCTTTGTGGGTTTCCTGTGAGATTAACTAAAACGTAAAAGCGGATGAGGCTGCATTTGCCGTCAAATTGTTTTGTTTTTTTCCCCTCTCATTACTTCGGGGAAACGGTGAGGCGGGGCATCTTTGAATTAACAAATGACTAAGAAGAGTCAATTTGGCTCTTGGTTGAGCCTTGTAGTGTGTTAGAAAAACAGAGGCGTTGGCTTGAAAACAGCGATAATGATGGAAAGACTGTCCTTTATGATAGAACTTATAGTTCGGGTGAGTCGAGCCCTAGTTATGCTGCGATAGGCCTAGACTGCCCGGATATTTCCCACGAGGCACCGAGCTTACCTCTTCTTTCTCTGTCTCCCTCTCAGTGCAACCTCATTCCATTAACGCATGTTACTAACTGGACTCTTTCCCGTTTCCATAGTCGTGTGCTTTCTCGTCCCGCTCCTCTCTCCTCCTAACACTTTGTGCAGATGTTCGTGGCTCTGGAGCTGTCGAGACTGGATCTGTGATTGGGAGTCTCCTACTGTCCCCGTGTTCCTACTCTGCCACAATTACAACCACTGTTCATTGTCTTATTGCTATTATTAGGCAAGGCAAGGCAAGTTTATTTGTATAGCACATTTCATGTACAAGACAATTCAAAGTGCTTTACAGACAGTTAAAATCGGAAAAACAAGAAAAATCATACAGAAAATTATACTAAATACTAAATAAATACTAAAAATACTAAATATTAGACAGATGAAAAGTAAAGGGTGCAGATAAAATACAATACACTTTCCATATGCACAGTTAAACAGAAGCGTTTTCAGCCTGGATTTAAACATTGTCAGAGTTGAAGCCTGTCTCTCATCTTCAGGAAGACTGTTCCAGATCTTAGGAGCATGAAACTGAAATGAAACTTCACCTTGTTTAGTTCTGACTCTGGGCACCAGCAGGAGACCAGAACCTGAGGTTCTCAGAGTCGGGGCTGGTTCATATGGCTCTAACATGTCAGAAAGGTATTTTGGTGCTTGGCTATGAAAAGACTTGTACAGAAGCAGAGCTGTTTTAAAATCTATTCTCTGAGTGACAGGAAGCCAGTGGAGAGACCTTATCACTGGACTGATATGGTCGTATTTCCTGGTTCTGGTAAGAACTCTGGCAGCAGCATTCTGGATGTTCTGCAGCTTTCTTACAGCTCGTTTAGAGAGCCCAGTGAGCAGGCCATTACAGTAGTCCAACCTGCTGGAGACAAACGCATGGATTAGTCTTTCTAGGTCTGGTTTAGACACTATTCCTCTGATTCTGCCAATGTTTTTGAGATGGTAAAAGGCTGCTGATGTTATTGATTTAATGTGGCTGTTAAAGTTCAGGTCTGAGTCCAGTATTACCCCAAGAATGTTGAACTGATTTTTAGGTTTCCAGAGAGTGTCTAAAGGTGACTAATGACACTATGACACTTATTACTGCTATCATTATCATTAGTATCAATATCATTGCCATTTTTCATCCAGTATATGTGTTACTGTGTGGGCTGCCTCCTTCTGTCCCTCTCTCACTCTCTCTCTCTGTCTCTCCCCCAACCGGCCGAGGCAGATGGCCGCCCACCCTGAGTTTTGCTCGAGGTTTCTGCCTCTTAAAATGACGTTTTTCCTTGCCTGTGTCGCCTAGTGCTTGCTCTTGTTGGGAATTGTTGGGCTTCTGTAAATAACTTCAGAGTAGGGTCTGACCTGCTCTATTTGCAAAGCGCTGTGAGATAACTGTTGTTGTGATTTGGCGGTGTTTCATTAAAATTGAATTGTATTTAATTGTTTACAGAGAATTTAAGAGAATGATTGGCTCAAAGACGAGTGAACAAAAAAGACCCTAGGGCCAGTGCAGTGTATATCATGATTCAAAATGTGGGACGTTTGACGGCATGGGACAACATGAGTGACAAATAAGTTGCCAAGAAACAATAAGGCTAATTGTCTAAAATTCAATTTGGAAAAAGGAAAAAGATTAGTACAGCAAAAAACCAAACAAAACTGCTTAGGCGAAGGGTTAGAGGCCAGTTAAAGAGTCTGAGGTGTTTACTTGACATCAAAACTGCCCTGACAAACGTTGAGCAGGAATGTCGAAGGCAAATACAACTCCAAAGACTCAAACAATACATCTATGGGGGCAAAATAATCTATAGCCAACATCTCAGTATCAAACACTCAGGAAATACTCACAGATGAGCTTTGTCCATATCCTGTCTCGTCTTTTCTTAGCATTAGCACCCTTCCAGTGTTGGGCTTGGTATTGGTCATAATATATCAGCTGACTTGTTTTTATGATATATAATGAACCAAGCCCAGAGAACAAAAGTCTGCATCTTTATTTTCCACAAAACTTGATTGTTAAAACTATTGCGGTTGTAGTAAAACTGGCATATATATATATATATATATGTGTGTATATATGTGTGTGTGTGTTATCGAGAACATAACGTGCACTTCAGACATTGAAACTGTGTTTTTATCTCTGTCTAAACACTAAGCACACTCAACACTGTAGTTGAGTGTGGCTGTTTTGTCACTCTGGGTTTCCTGTTTTGCTGATCAGAATGCGCTTTGGCTGGTCTCTTGGTCAACCTCGTCTTTTCTGGTATGTCATAGTATACCAGACACCTTACTGTGAGAAAGATGTCAGCTTTGACGTGTCTTGAAAGCGTATTTATATTGTTTGTTAAGTTTGACGGCGTGTTAGAGTTACAGCTTGAGTGTAAAAGATGGTCTTGTGTTAGCACATGGCTAACATTTTACAGAAAAAAAATATTGTTTTTTTTTTGCAACGACACCCAACATGATTGAAAGACAAACAGAAAAAGAACAACAGATACACCAGGTTATGCTACTGGTAGCGAGTGTGGCTGGTTTTTTAACTAAACTGATTATTCTTCCTGACTTGAAACATAGACTATACCATTTTTTTTCTGCTGCTCCACTGAAAAGTAAAATAAAAACAGAATGCAACACAAATCTCATAGGCCAATGCTCCCATGTCACATGTTGCTATTGTGATGTTTCAATCTTGTATGCGATGACTGTCTTTTTGATTGGATTTTACTCCAGCTGTGAAATGTCTCACTTCTATGTTGTATTAAGAATAAAATGATGGTTTATGTAACTAATAGCATAATCTGTTTTGGTTTTAATTTGTTTTAGTTTTAGGGACCTTTATGTCAACACAGATGAAACTCAGAGGAGGAGCTGAAAAAGCTAATACTGAAAAAAACAGGAGCCAGGAACTGACAAAACCGGGGACTCAAAGCCAGTAGAAGTGGTACTAGTAGTAGTTGCCTTTTTAAGATCGATCTGCCAATGAGTGATGGAAAATCAGCAGCTCAAAGGTTGAGGAGGATGG